CTCTATAGACACAACAACAATAACATTAAACATGACTATTTTCAGTACTTCCTGTAGGAGTATGAACAAATGAAATCATGGGTACAATGTAAAGTATTAACCAGTACTACAATTCAGTTGTTCATACCTCGAGAAAGCCCCAATTTACTAATTAGGCAATTTTCTAACTATGTCTAGATTATATTTACAGTACAGTATAACAAGTCGAAATACGCGTTGACATACAACTCACAAGTGTCTAAAGTGACATTATAAACATGACAGTATTTGACACTTTCTCCATGTACGAACAACCGAAAATAGATCATGCGGCTCAGAAGCTTTATTACTAATATAATTAGAAGCTTTATAACTGTTCCTATGCCTACATTTGCTAAACAATTCAGATCTTATATTCAATGTATTATTTTTGTCCGATAACATAATCATTCTTTTTTCCTCGGTGCACAGAGAACAAACTTTCATTCCTGGGCAAACGGCTGGAACTGACTTCATGATATGATATAGTTCGCATGGATAGGGACAAGCACGGTGGCGGTGTCTGTTTTTTACATTAGGCGGAAGATATCATATTTAAATCGTTGTGATTTAGTGCCGGAAAATTTAGAGTCAGTATGTTTGGAAATTAACCGGCCCAACTCTCGTTCCTTTATCGTTTCTACTATTTATCGTCCGCCGTCAGCAACCGTCGAATATTTCTCACAAATTGAATCTTTGCTTAAGAATGTCGATAACGAGAATAAGGAAATTTACTTATTAGGAGATCTAAACTGTAATCTGTTAGACCAGTCCAACTCTTCTGCTAAACACTTACATTCTATCATGCAACTTTATCAACTTACACAGGTAATCGATAAGCCTACAAGGATTACGGAATCGTCTTCTACGTTACTAGACGTTTGTATTACCTCCTGTCCTGAGCGAATTGCATTTCATGATGTAATTCATATGGGAGTGAGTGATCATAGTTTAATTTATGTAGTAAGAAAAATTAATTCATATCTTAAACCTCACGCTAGCAAAAAAGTCGAATTTCGAAGCTTCAAGCATTTCAATGTTGAGAATTTCAAAGTCGACCTTATAAACTTACCGTGGTATTTAGTTGACAGAGAATCTGATATTGATAATAAATGGGCATGTTGGAAAAATCTTTTTATAACTGTTCTTGATAAACATGCCCCGGTTAGGGAAAGACGGGTACGAAATAAAACATCTGTGGCATGGATTTCTAGGAATATCAGAAACAAAATGTTTGAAAGGGACCGTTTGAAAAGAAAAGCAATTTTGTCGGATTTAAGTGAAGATTGGAGCCAGTATAAACATTATAGGAATAATGTCAACATTGCAATGCGTGAAGCTAAGAAAGTTTACTACAAAAGCAAATTTGACAAACATCAAAACAACCCTAAACAGGCTTGGAGGACGATTAATGATATCCTTGGGAGAAAAAAGAAGGACACAATGATTAACGAATTAAAGCTAGGAAATGATACAATTACTTCTCCTATGAGAATGGCTAATTGTCTTAATGACTATTTTACAAGTATTGGTGGTAAAATTGGAGACTCCTGCTCTGAACACACTCAGAATTTAAATTTTGGCAGGCATATGAGTGATAATCTAAATACTAGTTTGGAATTTACTTTGCATCCTGTTAACGAATCACAGGTTTTTAGGCTACTTAACAATTTGTCTATTTCTAAATCTACTGGATGTGACAAAATACCGGCTAAAATTCTAAAAAAATCTGCTTCTGTAATTACACCATCTTTGACCAATTTGTTTAACTCTGCTATTGGGATGGGAATTTTCCCCTCTGAATGGAAAATTGCTAGAGTTATCCCGCTTCATAAGAAGGGTTCACGCTCCGTTTTAGACAATTATAGGCCAATATCAATTTTGCCGGTCATCAGCAAAATATTTGAAAAGATCTTGTATGAGCAGTTATACGAATATTTTACCACCAATAATTTATTGTCTGAACAGCAGTTTGGGTTCAGGCGCTTTCATTCCACGTCCACTGCTTTGCTTGATTGTACTGATGAGTGGTATGTTAATATGGATCGTGGTTTATATAATCTTGCCGTTTTTCTCGATTTAAAAAAAGCATTTGACACGGTAAACCACGACATTTTACTGGCTAAACTAGAGTTATATGGTATTAAGAACACGCCTCTTATGCTTCTCAAATCGTACTTATCAGATCGATCTCAGAAATGTCAAGTAAATGGGGAACTTTCCACACTAAAATATCTAAATATGGCGTTCCTCAGGGTTCAATTTTGGGTCCACTTCTGTTTTTAATTTATATCAATGATTTGCCGAATTGTTTACAACACTCTACAGCACGCATGTTCGCCGACGATACTAACATTACAGTGTCCGGTAAATCAATTAAGGAAGCTGAGGTGGCCGTTAATGTCGATCTCAATAATATTAGAGAATGGCTTCTATCGAACAGGCTCTCTCTTAACCTTGTCAAAACGGAATATCTTTTGATTGGATCACGCCACAATATTAACACGTTAGAAGAACAACCGCGTGTTTTTATTGGAGATGAACCAATTAAAGGGGTTCAAGTTACAAAAACTCTTGGAGTCAAAATTGATCAATTTTTAACTTGGGACAGTCATATTGACCAAATTTCTAAAAAAATATCTTCTGGAATAAGTGCCATGAAAAAGATAAAGGATTTCACTAATTCTGATACTTTGAAGTCGGTCTATTATGGTCTTGTCCAACCCCATTTCGACTACTGTTGTGAAGTTTGGAATTCCATTAATAGAGGCCAGTCTGAACGACTACAAAAACTTCACAACAGATGTGCTAGAATTATAATGAACTTTAAAGATGAGCCTGGGCAATCTCAACTGGCCCTCGATCAATTAGGGTGGATAAGCTTGGAAGAAAGGCGAAAACATAATATGGCCCGTCTCATGTTTAAGGTTGTCAATAATTTGGCACCATCGAGGTTCTCATCAATGTTCCAGAATTCTAACCATATCCACAGTTATAATTTACGAGGTTCAAATTCGTCTCTCTTTCTGCCACGACCAAATACCGAGTATGGCAGAAAATGTTTTCGATATAGTGGGGTTAAAATCTGGAATAGCATTCCTGAACAAGTAAGAAACAGCGAATCTTTAAATTCTTTCAATAGAAATATTTCCTCTGTTAGTCTGACGAATTAGCTATTTGAGTTTTGTATACCATTTGTTTTGTAATATGTATTTGTATTCGTAGTTCTTAATATTCTTAGTGATTTTGTATTTTATATATTTTTGTAACATTTATCTACGCCCCACTTGGAAAGCAGCTATGGTTGAAGTGGCCAGCGTAGTCAAATAAAGTTTTATCAATCAATCAATCAATGACCGACCATTTTATTCGGAATGATTTGTTCTGCGATTTAAGACCCCAAGCATATTTCGAAAGTTTCGTCTCTGTCGAATAGCGCTCATTGTTCAATGATTTCAAATGATTGCTATATCTTAGCTTGAAAGGACCCGCCGTCATTCCTATATAATTCTTGACCACTTTCCCATTGTCGCTTGTAATCTGGGCTTTATACACAACGCTCCTCACGAGACAATTGCCGTTCAGTGGACGTTTACTTTTAATTCTGCAGTTACACGATTTCGATGGAATTTTGGAGGGATTCTGATTGTTAAGAACACGCCAGTTGTGGTTTGAAATTGATGCTTTAATATTGTTCATGCATGAATAACTAACTTTGACAGAGTTTCGGTTGAAAATTTTATGTAGGATCGATGATTTGGGGAAATGCTTGTCTATTAAACGAAGGAAATTTTCTGCAACTTTCGTCTTCACGTTCTTGCTGTAGGGCGGATTGTACCAAATAATGTTTCTTGATCGGGTTCGTTTCTTGGGCTTACTACTATTTGTTTCATTGTCGTACCTTAGATTGGTATTGAAATTGCTTTGCTTCAGTGCATCTTCGTATAAAGGGGCGGCTGAATCAAAACTCGGTTTGTCGGAGGAAAGGGAGGATATACGTTTATTAATTGATTTTGGGAGTTGTCTGATAATTGATGGTGGATGATTAGAACGGCTATCGATATAAATGGGATCATTATTTGGTTTTCGATAGGGAGTGAAGTTATTTTCTTTCAAGTTTAAGGTTACATCAAGAAAGTTCACTGATTGATGGCAGACATCAGCGGTAATCTTTAAACCGAACTGGTCGAAAATGCGATGGAGTTCCTTTCTAGCCTTATCCGCCGATCTACCATTGCTCCCTATTACCAGCACTAAGCCATCGTCCCTATACAGACCAACCATGTCATTCCCGAACCGTGACGCTAAAGTATTTAGCTTTACGTTTGCGTTTATTATTTAGTATTTAGCTTTCAATCATTTGAAATCATTGAACAATGAGCGCTATTCGACAGAGACGGAACTTTCGAAATATGCTTGGGGTCTTAAATCGCAGAACAAATCATTCCGAATAAAACGGTCGGTCATGAAGCAAGTTCCAGCCGTTTGCCCAGGAATGAAAGTTTGTTCTCTGTGCACCGAGGAAAAAAGAATGATTATGTTATCGGACAAAAATAATACATTGAATATAAGATCTGAATTGTTTAGCAAATGTAGGCATAGGAACAGTTATAAAGCTTCTAATTTCAAACACGCGCGCGCAAGTAAACACAATCATTTAAATGCTTGCGTCAGCAATCTAAGCGCGTCAGCGTAAACCGTTGTTTATTTATTGCCAGATAATTAACATCAATCGCCTGATGATCGTACGCTGTACGTGAAACACTGTGTAGCGATGAAATAAAATTTTAAGATTGAAATTTGTTGTTTTTGTCATTTTATTTGCCCTACTGATTTATTGGTGTTAAGCACTCTAGTTCACTACGCACAAATTCAATATTGAATATTAATTTCGCACCTGGAAATCAGTTGTGCACTCTGTTGTTCGTGGTATCCAAAACAATCTTAAGATGAACAGGATCAACTTCAATTACTCGCTAAAGAATATCGGTTTGCCAAGTCGTACGCAATATCAACGGCGACTTATTGAAAAAACGGAAAGCGTCATTCAACGTATGCGCTGGAAAGCACATTTTTTCCTTGGAAAGCAGACGACAAATTGCGATGAGCAATTTGGACTTCCATCACCAAATAATGCGCCCATGGTCACCCAGTTAAAACATTTCGAAGACGATGTAATTAAAATGATATCAAACATTCAATTTAGAACTGTAAACGATCCTTTTATGAATAAAATCTCCAAGGACCTTGATCGAATCAATTCGTCGAATAACATATTGGTTTTTGCGGACAAATCAACAAAAAATTTATGAGTTAAGTCCAGCATCGTATGAGAAACTCCTTACAGATAATGTAACCATGAACTATAAACAATGTAATGATAATATTATGAGCAATGTTAATTCTGAATTGAAAGAAATTACGGACAAACTATCCATATCAGGCAGAGTTGATATTATGGCAAGGAAAAACGCGTTCGTAACGCTTAAAGATCATAAGGAGAACTTTGACAATAATCCTAAATGCCGCCTCCTGAATCCATCAAAGAGCGAGCTCGGAAAGGTCAGCAAAGTTGTTTTAGATAGAATAAATGATGAAATAAGATCCACCATCCATGTAAACCAGTGGAAGAACACCCAATCTGTTCTAAAATGGTTCCAAGGAATTAAAAACAAGTGTGACTACTCCTTCTTTTCCTTCGATGTTAACGAGTTTTACCCATCGATTTCGGAAGATCTCTTGAACAGTGCAATTTCTTGGGCGAGAACTATGACAAATATCACGCCGGAAGAAGAATCTGCCATCAAACACGCACGTAAATCGCTTCTTTTCCACGGGGAGAGAACATGGAGTAAAACCAATGATTCGGACGGTGCCCTTTTTGATGTTGCCATGGGGAGCTACGATGGTGCCGAGGTGTGTGTGAACTTGTTGGTTTGTTTATATTAAATACTTTAGCGTCACGGTTCGGGAATGACATGGTTGGTCTGTATAGGGACGATGGCTTAGTGCTGGTAAAAGGGAGCAAGGGTAGATCGGCGGATATGGCTAGAAAGGAACTCCATCGCATTTTCGACCAGTTCGGTTTAAAGATTACCGCTGATGTCTGCCATCAATCAGTGAACTTTCTTGATGTAACCTTAAACTTGAAAGAAAATAACTTCACTCCCTATCGAAAACCAAATAATGATCCCATTTATATCGATAGCCGTTCTAATCATCCACCATCAATTATCAGACAACTCCCAAAATCAATTAATAAACGTATATCCTCCCTTTCCTCCGACAAACCGAGTTTTTATTCAGCCGTCCCTTTATACGAAGATGCACTGAAGCAAAGCAATTTCAATACCAACCTAAGGTACGACAATGAAACAAATAGTAGTAAGCCCAAGAAACGAACCCGATCAAGAAACATTATTTGGTACAATCCCCCCTACAGCAAGAACGTGAAGACGAAAGTTGCAGAAAATTTCCTTCGTTTAATAGACAAGCACTTTCCCAAATCATCGATCCTACATAAAATTTTCAACCGAAACTCTGTCAAAGTCAGTTATTCATGCATGAACAATATTAAAGCATCAATTTCAAACCACAACCGGCGTGTTCTTAACAATCAGAATCCCTCCCAAATTCCATCGAAATCGTGTAACTGCAGAATTAAAAGTAAACGTCCACTGAACGGCAATTGTCTCGTGAGGAGCGTTGTGTATAAAGCCCAGATTACAAGCGACAATGGGAAAGTGGTCAAGAATTATATAGGAATGACGGCGGGTCCTTTCAAACTAAGATATAGCAATCATTTGAAATCATTGAACAATGAGCGCTATTCGACAGAGACGGAACTTTCGAAATATGCTTGGGGTCTTAAATCGCAGAACAAATCATTCCGAATAAAATGGTCGGTCATGAAGCAAGTTCCAGCCGTTTGCCCAGGAATGAAAGTTTGTTCTCTGTGCACCGAGGAAAAAAGAATGATTATGTTATCGGACAAAAATAATACATTGAATATAAGATCTGAATTGTTTAGCAAATGTAGGCATAGGAACAGTTATAAAGCTTCTAATTTCAAACGCGGGCACGCAAGTAAACACAATCATTTAAATGGTTGCGTCAGCAATCTAAGCGCGTCAGCGTAAACCGTTGTAATTTATTGCGAGATAATTAACATCAATCGCCTGATGATCGTACGCTGTACGTGAAACACTGTGTAGCGATGTAATAAAATTTTAAGATTGAAATTTGTTGTTTTTGTATATATATATATACACTGTTAATTTCGGGGAGTTAATTTAACTCCGGTGGAGTTATACTGTACCTCAATTAACTCCAAATGTGGAGTAAAATTAGGTTCAGAATAATACCACTGGAGTTAAATTAACTCCCTGAAATTTACAGTATATATATATATATATATATATATATATATATATATATATATATATATATATATATATATTTATATATATATATATATATATATATATATAAATTATATCAATTTAAAAATCAGAGACTATGCAACTTCGACCATCAATTTATTAAAAAAACTAAAACATACTAAAATAAAAGCTTTAGCTTTTTTAATAAATTGATGGTCGAAGTTGCATAGTCTCTGATTTTTAAATTGATTGTTATATATATATACGACAGTACTTGCTGTGAATCCTATTTGGATCCTTCGCCCTCGAGGAGACTTCGTTTGGCATTACCATACCTAATATCAAAGCTTATATATATATATATATATATATATATATATATATATATATATATATATATATATATATATATATATATATATATATATATATATATATATATATATATATATCACTTAGGTAAGAGGTTTGGCAAGGAAAACATCGGACTTTATAGAGATGATGGTTTGGCTATTATAAAAAGCAAATCCGCCTGTTTACTAGACAAAACTAGAAAAGAGCTACACAAAATTTTCGAGCAATTTGACCTTAAAATCACCGCCGAAGTAAATACGAACGTTGTAAATTTTTTAGATGTTACTTTCGACCTGATCAACGCAAAACACAAACCATACAGGAAACCCAATGACGATCCATTGTACATCCACAGACACTCAAACCATCCACCAAGCATTACAATTACCTACAGCTATCAACAAACGCATTGCACTTCTCTCATCGGACGAACAAACATTTAAGGAATCCACACCTATTTACCAGAACGCTCTTACACACAGTAACTTTGATCACGAATTTACGTACACTCAGGA